TGAGGGGAGCGGTCACTGCACTCCAGTCTGGGCGGTGGAGTGAGACTCCAACTCAAAAAAAAAAAAAAATTAGTGTCCCAATTAAGATGTACTGTAGATATAAAATACACGCTGGATTTTGAAGGCCTAGTGCAAACAAAAAGGCAAAATATTTCGTTAATAATATTATGTATTGCTGGGCTCGGTGGCTCATGCCTATAATCTCAGCACTTTGGGAGTCTGAGGTGAGAGGACTGCCTGAGCTCATGGGTTTGAGACCAGCCTGGGCAACTTGGTCAGACCGCATCTCTACAATAAATAAAAAAATTGGCCGGGTGTGGTGGTGCATGCCTGTAGTTCCAGCTACTTGGAAGGTTGAGGTGGAAGGATTGCCTGAGCCCAGCAGGTCAAGGTTGCAGTGGCCATGAGCGTGCCACTGCCCTCCAGCCAAGGCAGTAGAGTGAGACTCCAACTCATAATAATAATAATAATAATAACAACAACATTATGTATTAAGCCAGGCGCAGTGACTCAAGCCTGTAATCCCAGCACTTTGGGAGATCGAGGCGAGAGCATTGCCTGAGTTCAGGAGTTCGAGATCAGCCTGGGCAACTTGGTGAGACCTTGCCTTTTCAATAAATCAAGAAATATGCCGGGTGTGGTGGCACGTACCTGTAGTTCCAACTACCTGGAAGGTTGAGAAGGAAGGATAGCCCTAGTCCAGCAACCATGAGCATGCTATGGTACTCCAGCCTGGGCAACAGAGTGCAATTCCAACTCAAAAATAACAATAAAAATAATAATATGTGTTAATTTCATGCTGAAATGTGAATTTGGAGGTATATTAATTTAAAGTATAATATTACGATTAACCTGTTTCTTTTAACGTGGCTACTGAAAAATTTCAAATTACAAATGTGGTTCAAATTATATTTCTATAGGACAGCATGGGTGTAGACTTTATTCAGTAATCAATGAAGATATTTGAGTAGAAAATGGTCAGGGTTAGAATTTCGGTTTAGGATAATTCATCTAACACATGTTTGGGATGGGTTTGTTTTTGAAGAAGAGAGAGGCAGAAGGGGGGAAAGCCCTTTAGAGAGTGGTAAGGGCCTGGGAGCAGGAATTAGGCCTTTCAGGATCAGTGGGAGTGACAGATGGTTTAAACTCAGTTTAGACAGGAAAATCAACATTTCTCAAATTTTTTCTTTCTTCACCCTGAGGACTTATTTTCTACAGCGTTTTCAGATTCAAAGCGAGCTCTGCCGACTCTTAGCCTAATAAAGGAACACTTGAAAATTACATGCTTTAATAAAAGCTGTTCTTTATGAGGCATATAAAGTTACTAGCTTTTTTTGTGTGCCTTGCGATGCTATTTATATGGTTTTATGACAGAGACAGTTTTCCAGTTTTTCCTGTCTTTATTTACCTTAGTGTGTTTAAAGCCCTGTTATTCTCTGGCTTTAGGATTTTTTGTTTACTTTCCACTTTTTTTTTGAGTTGAAGTCTCACTCTGTCACCCAGACTGGAGTGCAGAGGCCACTCCTGGCCACCGCAGCCTCGACCTGCTGGGCTCCGGCGATTCTTCCACCTCAGCCGTCCAAATAGCTGGAACTACAGGCGCGAGCTACCACACTCGGCTAATTTTATTTTTGATTTATTGTAGACATGAGGTCTCGCCAAGTTGCCCAGGTGGGTCTCGAACCTGCGGGCTCAGGCAATCCACTCACCTCAACCTCCCAAGGCGCGGGATTACAGGCTGAGCCACTGAGCCCAGCTTCCACTTTCTTACATACTAGCAAACATTCATCCCACAAAACTGCGTTAATCTAGGACTGAGATTAACATTCTGCAGACACCTGCATTTGGGATTTAGAGATCTCAATTGTTTATTCCCTTTATCTAATTATTTGAACGGGAGTCTCACTCTGTCACCCAGGCTGGAGGGCAGTGGCAGGCTCCTGGCCACTGAAGCCTCCACCTGCTGGGCTCAGGCAATCCTTCTGCCTCAGCCTTCCAAATAACTGGAACTACAGGCACACGCCACCACGCCCCACTAACTCTTTGATTTATTGTAGAGACGGGTTCTCCCCAAGTTGCCCTGGCTGGTCTGGAACCCATGGGCTCAGGCAATCCTCTCACCTCAGCCTCCCAAAGTGCTGGGATTATAGGCGTGAGCCATGGCACCAGGCCTTTAATCCCTTTATTCTAAGCAGACCTACATTATACTATCAAGTGTGAATTCCATAACATTCTTCCCCAACCCATTCTATTTTGAAGTTCATATTTCCTCTTCTTTTGTTTTTAGAAAATACAAAATAAGATCTCACATGGAATCCCTGACAATAGAATAATGTTTTAGAGCATCTAGCCTTACTGGCTGATCCTAGCAGTCTTATTCTCTCATAATTATCTCCAGATCTTTGACTGTGACTGAATGGGGCTCCTCCCTAAGTCCACAAGGACCCCAGGGGTTTGAGGTTGTAGTGAGCTATGATTGTGCCACTGTGCTCCAGCATGAATGACAGAGCAAGACCCTGTCCAAAAAAAAAAAAAAAAAATTCACGCACTTTGAGAGGCCAAGATGAGAGGATTGCCTGAGCCCACAGGTTCAAGACCAGTCCGGGCAACTTGGCAAGACTTCATCTCTACAATAAATCAAAAAATTATCTGGGCACAGTGGTGTATGCCTGTAGTTCCAGCTACTTGGAAAGTTGAGGTGGAAGGATCGCCTGAGCCCAGCAGGTCGAGGCTGTGGTGGTCATTAAGCTGTGGTGACTGTTAAGTGTGCCACTGCACTCCAGCCTGAGCAACAGAGTGAGACTCCAACTCAAAAAAAAAAAAAAAAAAAAAAAATTAAGGCTGGAGAGAAGAAAAGACAAAATGATTTAGAACCAAGAATGACATTGTGAGACAAATAATAAATGTCAAATATAGAGAAAAGACTAGAAGAAAAAGAGAAAAGCACGGCCAATTAAAAAAAAATTTTTTTATAGAGACAAAGTTCACTATGTTGCCCAGGCTAGTTTTGAACTCCCGACTTTGAGCAATCCTCCCGCATTGGCCTCCCAAAGTATTGGAATCACAGGCATGAGCCACTGTGCCTGGCATGGCCTCCTTACTATAAATTGCATGGTTCGGCCACTGTACGCTTACAGGCGACGAATGCAACCGAAGAACTGAATTATTCGTTTTAATTAATTTAAATTTTGTTATTGAAGCAATTTTATAAGATTTTTCTGTTAAGCACAACTTTGTTTTTTGGTAAGACTACATATCACTTAAACTTATACACGTAGAATATACACCATGTTTCAAAGGCTTAGTACCAAAAAAGAAAGCAAACGTTCTTCTTGGTTTTTACATTGAGTACATGCTGAAATGATGATATTTTGGATAGACTGGGTTAAATAAAATAACTATCACCATTAATTTCTCTTGTGACTCGCTGGCATTATATCTCTGTTGGACAGCACTGCCCTATGGGATAGCCGGTTTCCTTTGGCTGCTAAATTCAGTTACTGTGGTGACTAAAGGGGCCTCAGTTCAGCATTTCCTGGAAGACCAGGGGGAGGAGGGGGAGGGGAGATGGCCTCAGAGGAGATTTAGAAAAATCTCCTTTCAGGAAAGGTTTGTGTCAGGCCTAGCAGTATCCATTTGAATTCTGGGCCCTCCATCAAAACCATAAAGGGAGATGCACTTCCTCCAGCTCATCATGGAGAAAAATGTTATGTATTTACGGGGTTTCCTTCATCTCACCCCACCTCTCTGGTGCTGAAAGGATTGCCGGCAACAAATTCATAGGCATTAGGAATTTGACCCTTGTATTCCTCTGCCAACAAAGCCTCGATATTATCTCCCATTACCCAACTCTTCAAACACAAGCTAAATTGTGTCGCTTTGTTTTACTGTCACAGTGGAGCCACCTTTGTCTGTCCCTCATTATCCCTTCTTCCTCTGTTCTCATTTTTCTTGTTTTGTTTTCCTACTTATCTTGTTCAGCTTTCTTGTATAGCTTAGTAATCAGATATTTATCTCGCACGTTTCTTTCAGCAAACTCACAGTCCATAACTAAGAGGATGTTCATGATCTCCAGTTGTGAGAATCATTTGCCCTGGTCCCTTTTTATTTTGGAAATGGAAGAAGGGAAACGCCATAAATTCCTTGAGGGTCAGAATTTTTTTTTTTGGCCTGTTCACTGAAGAACCGACAACTTCTTGGAGAGTACTTGATGGATAAGCATGAGCTCAGCCAGCAAATATCTATTTAATTGAGCTTGATTTTTATTGCATTTCTAAATGCTATGAGCCTGAGTCTAGAAGCAAAACGATGCAGAATTCAGAACGGGTGGGATGGGGGAATGCCCTGTTAAGGACTTTGGATTGTATCCCATAGGCTGCTGATTCTTCCTGCTCCCTGGAGAGTTGGTCTCTCTTCCAGAAATTCAGGTTTCCTTCCCTCCAGGTGAGATTATGCTAAACTGAGGACAAAATCCCCACACTGGCCAAATTCCTCCCACAGTCTTCTCTCGGGCTGTCCTTCCCTCCCCTTCCAGACTGCCCACGCAGGCTACAATCAAAAAGCAGCTGATAAATTCATGGAATCCTGAATTCTTCCCGCTTACTCTCCTTCCAGTAACCTTAAATCTCGCATAGTAGCACCCGCGTGACCTCGCCTTATACAGATATGTTTATTCTTGTTTTTCTATACATCGATTTAATCCCGAGCAGCTGTGAGAGCAAAAACTAGTGTATTTGCCCTCCCTATCCAATTCCGGTAGCATTTTGTCTGTGAAACTAAGAGGCTGCTATTAGAAGTGGGAAGGATGAGCTTTAAAAAAAAAAAGGAGGGGGGGTGGAGAGAGTGGCAGGATGTGGTTTTACGTGGGGGGGGCGAGAAGAGGCATTATTCCCCCGCAGGTCGGGGGCGGGGGCAGTGCTGAAATTCTGATAACACAAAATTCCGAGAGGTCACGGGATTATTTGGGGGAGGGATTAGGGTGGGGCTGGGGGGCTTGTCACCCTTCCAGGCTCCACCCTTTGCGGAGATTATAAATAGCATGCTCCCAGCCACAGCCAGAGATGCCGTAATGGTGAGAGTGAGTTTCAGAACCTTTCTGAGGACCTGAAGAAAACTTGCTGCTAGGAAGGACATTTTGAAGGTTTTGTTGGCTGGAAGAGGTGTCTCTGGGATCCCATTCCTAGATCTTTCCTGACGATTTGAAAAGTAGATCAGGACCATGGGGACACAGAAGGTAAGAATGATATCATTATTGGTTTATTTTTGCTTGATTGGGGTACCCTTGGAAAGCCAAGTCTTAATGGTGATGGTCGTGGTCTGTTTTCTCCTAAGTCACCAAAAGCCATCCATGAAGGCCTTTCCATTCTCCTGCATACAGTGCTACAGTTCCATCAGTTCTCTTTGAATGTCCTATTCAATACAGGATTTGTCACAGTTCCGTGCACCTTCCTATCCTAGAAAAGTCACCTGGAGAAGTTGTGTTTGCTTCTCAGGTTTATGTAACTATACCCTACCGAGGACTGGATGGTTGAGTGTTCAGAGGATCAAGTTCTGTTTGGTTGTGTGGATTCCGAGTGTGGGTCTCAGCCAGTGTGGTGACTCCCCTGGAAAGATTAGACCTTGAAAAGACCTGCGGTGCTCTGGGTGTGTGGCAGTGTCGTCTGCTCCGTAACCTACGAGATTCCCTGGATACTAGGAGAATTCTAGTTGTCCTTCCCATTGGGTTTTCGATGGTGAGGGCAGAATATATTCCCATATTTTCGAGTGTTGTGTATGCAGTATTTGTAGGGAGAAAGGCATTTTCACCGGATAAACGTATTGGAAAATAAGGGATGGGGAAAAATGGGACCGAAGGGGGGAATAGGCCCTCAAAGACAGTGAATGACGAGAGGAGAAAGAAAAGGGTTTTACTAAAAGGAAAAAGATTTCACAGAAAGCCTTGTACTGGCATGGGCTCCCGGGGGTACCGATGCCCAGACTGGACTGAGGTGGCTGGGAGGCAAGGTCAATTCGCCAACTGATGCCCTGTCTGACCTGGAAGGAAAGGAATTTAAGATAGGAAAGGAGAAAGGGACTGAGGGGCCCTGGAGGATGGCCTCGGGCATAAAATGGAGCTGTCCCAAGGTGGAACTCTAAAATAATACCCATTTGGCCACTTGACTGATTCACAGCAGGGGGAGAGGCGACTGGTTCTCCCCTCCAAGAAATGTGTCTTTTATGCTGGGTTTGGAGGACCCCGTGTTCTCCGTTCCCTCCCGGAGGTTGGAGACCCAGAAGAGTAAAAGGGAAGACTTTCAAATGGGGCCAAGACACAGTGGGTAATGGAGTAGGTTACACAGGCTTGAGAGATGAGACTCAAAGAGCGGCCGGGGGTGGAGACCACACTCCTCCCCCACCACCGCTTCTGCTTCTGCGAAGTCTGGAGTGTAGATGGACTATGCTGGATCTAGCCGCTTTCAAAATAATCAGTTCTTAGGGATGCGTCCCAGGGCTTTTCCTCTGCCCTCTCAGTACCTGGGCGAAATTCCATGCTTACCTTTCCCTGGGGCAGGTTTTGTGATGCTTCAACCTGACGAAGGCAGTTTCTCCTAACTTTTTCCTTCCCCGGTTTTCTTGCCACTTTTCCCAAGTTAACTTCGCATTCTCCTCTCCAGATAAGTAATTTAGTAGAACCTGTTCCCTTTTGTCCCCCGCCCACTACCTACATCTCATTAGATTTTTGTCCTTATCACACCACTCATAAGGCAAGTTCTCCTAATAGGGCTCCATCATTAATAAGTGACCATCATCGGTCAGAAGTTTAAGGTCTGATTCTTCTCCCTGTCCTCCCCTCCCTCCAGATCACCCCACCGCTGATCTTCGCCATCACAGTTGCTACAATCGGCTCTTTCCAGTTCGGCTACAACACTGGAGTCATCAATGCTCCCGAGACGGTGAGTGCCAGACCACCAGAATTTGAATTTGGAATGGGGGCTGGGGGACCCACCTCATTAACAAGGGGACCTGCGTCCTGTATATTCGAATACCTAACCCTGAATTGTACCCCACATCGTTAAGATAAAAAAATTCAAAGGAAAAACAAGATTTTTTTAAAAAGCATTTGGAACAGGGACGTTAGTTAATCCTTTAAGTAGAATTTCAAGGATTCAGAATTTGGCTGGGTGTGGTGGCTCACACCTATAATCTAAGCACATTGGAAGGCTGAGGCAGAGGATCACCTGAGGCCAGGAGTTTGGGACCAGCCTGGGCAACGCCGTGAGACCCTATCTTTATAAAAAAATAATAATAAATAAAAAGTTTTTTTAAAATTCAGAATTTAAGGCTGAGCCTGGTGGCACGCCCCTGTAATCCTAACTCCTTGGGAGGCTGAGGCAGGAGGATCCCCTGCGCTCAGGAGTTTGAGTCCAGCCTGGGTCACAGAATGAGACTGTCTCTAAGTAAAAAAAATTTAATTTGGAATTTAAGACGAATTTTGATCCCCTGAGCTCAGGAGTTTGAGTCCAGCCTGGGTCACAGAATGAGACTGTCTCTAAGTAAAAAAAAATTAATTTGGAATTTAAGACGAATTTTGATCCCCTGAGCTCAGGAGTTTGAGTCCAGCCTGGGTGCATCTCTAGCCTGGCTAAGCCAGAAGAGGGACAGATATTGGTGGAGAGCTCCGTGGAGTCATTTAATCAAGGCAGAAGGTTCTTTTGCTCCCTGTCCCCTGGGCGTAGCGTTCTTCCTCTCACGTCTCACCCCATGGTGATCCACTTCCTCTGCTCTCCCTCAGGGGTTAGTTGCGAAGAATGGGGGTGGCTCTTGGAGGGCTGGGGCAGACAACGAGCATCAGTGCTGCCACCTGCTGGGGTTTTCAGGACAAATCAAGAGTCTCCCTCTTCAGAGGTAGGAATGTTTAGTCCTGTCCCTGATGTTCAGATCTTTTGTTCTCATCCAGCTGTAACCCTCTGTCCTCCCACCATCTGATCTTACAGATCATAAAGAGCTATCTCAATCACACTCTGGAAGACAAGTCCAAACAATCTCCCTCCAGTGTGCTACTCACCTCCCTCTGGTCCCTGTGCGTGGCCATCTTCTCCGTGGGTGGTATGATCGGCTCCTTTTCCGTTGGACTCTTCGTCAACCGCTTTGGCAGGTATGGACCAGAAACTGGGCTAGGAAGCGTGGGCTCTTCTGGCTGCACTGAGGACTAGGGTCTCTACTGGGGCAGGGGGGTGATGATGCCTTTCAGTGACAACGCCTTGATTCTAATCACAGGAAACTCCTTCCAGCTGGCCCTGAACGTGACAAATGTGACTGCTCTTGCCGGGAGCTCTGCTGATCTGCATAGCTTCCACCCAACCTTGCAAGAGATGGGCCTTTGCAGTTCATCTTGGGCTAGTTCAGAGTTATTCTCTAGTCAGCTCAACTATGGAGTTTTCCGGAAACATTATTTATAAGGTCTGAAGTTGTTTTTATTATTTTACAAGTGTTTTTATTATTTTACACAGGATTCTTAGAAATCATTTTTTTTCTTTATTTTTTTTTTTGAATTGGAGTCTCACTGTTGCCCAGGCTGGAGTGCAGTGGCATGCTCATGGCCACTGCGGCCTTGACCTGCTGGGCTCAGGTGATCCTTCCGCCTCAGCCTTCCAAGTAGCTGGAATTACAGGCACGTGCCACACCCAGCTAATTTTTTGATTCATTGTAGAGATGAGGACAAACATTTTTGTATTTTTTTTTTTTTTTTTTTTAGTAGAAGTCTCACTCTGTCAGCCAGACTGGAGTGCAGTGGCATGCTCATGGCCACTGCAGCCTCAGCCTTTCAAGTAGCTGGAATATAGGCACCCACCACCCTGCCCGGCTAATTCTTTAATTTATTGTGGAGATGAGGTCTCACCAAGTTGCCCAGACTGGTCTCGAACTTCTGGACTGTCAATCCTCCCATCTCTACCTCTCAAAGTGCTGGGATTACAGGCATGAGCCACCATGCCTGGCCTATTTTTGTAATTCTTGGTCTGTGAGAAGTATGGATAAAGGCCAAGTAGCTGAATTCTTCTCCCCAAAAAAAGACAGCTGAATCTTGTTCTTCACTAGCTTAATATTTTAGAGGATAGAATATCTTTTCAGCGATGAAAAGGAACCACTGAGAAAGGAAACATTTTAGTTCACCAACTAGATGTTCTAGAAATACAAATGGAATTCAAGTTAAAAATTAATAAGGTTGGCCGGGCTCGGTGACTCAGCCTGTAATCCCAGCACTTTGGGAGGCTGAGGTGAGTGGATTGCCAGAGCCTGCGGGTTCGAGACCCTCCTGGGCAACTTGGTGAGACCTCACCTCTACAATAAATCAAAAAATTAGCCGGGCATGGTAGCATGTGCCTGTAGTTCAGCTACTCGGAAGGCTGAGGCGGAAGGATCGCAGGTCGAGGCTGCGGTGGCCGGGAACGGCCACTGCACTCCAGTCTGGGCGACAGAGTGAGACTCCAACTCAAAAAAAAGAAAAAAAAAATAAGGCAATCTATTTTATCAGATAATGTTTAAATTTTAATTTTTTTTTGTAGAGAAGGGGTCTAGCCGGTCTCAAACTTCTGGGCTCAAGTGATCCTCCTGCCTTAGCCTCCTGGGTAGCTGAGACGAAAGGCATACACTACTCTGCCCAGCTCCCAACTACAAATGTTCTGATAATAGAAAAAGCGAAAAAGAAAATGTGGACCAAAAAAGAAGATAGGAATAATTCTGGAGAAGAACAGAGTAGTGGGGAAAGAAGGGGAGAGATTTGGAGCCTCTCACTTTGCTAACCTCGCTGTTGTTGACTCACCTACAGGCGTAACTCCATGCTGATCGTCAACCTCTTGGCTATCGCTGGCGGCTGCCTTATGGGATTCTGTAAAATAGCTAGGTCGGTTGAAATGCTGATCCTGGGCCGCTTGATTATTGGCCTCTTCTGTGGACTCTGCACAGGTTTTGTGCCCATGTACATCGGCGAGATCTCTCCTACTGCCCTGCGGGGAGCCTTTGGCACGTTCAACCAGCTGGGCATCGTCGTGGGGATTCTGGTGGCCCAGGTACTCTAGAACTTCTCATTCCTAATGAGTGTTAGTTCTGTGGTTCATTAAGTGTTCACATAGGCAAAGGACTCAAGAACATCTAGCACATTGTCAGTTACACATGTAAGTTTCAGATGTTGTTGTAGCTCACAGATACCAAAGAATAAAATAGGATAGAGAAAGGAAACACAATTTGCTCCTGTAGTAAAAGAATGGGTGATTCGCTGGATGTGGTGGCTCACGCCTGTAATCCCAGCACTTTGGGAGGCAGGGGCAAGAGGACTGCCTGAGCCCCGGGGTTCAAGACCAGCCTGGGCAACTTGGCAAGACCTCATCTCCACAATAAATCAAAAAATAAGCTGGGTGTGGCACACGCCTGTGGTCACAGCTACTTGGAAGGCTGAGGTGGAAGGATCGCCTGAGCCCAGCAGGTCGAAGCTGTAGTAGCCATGAGCATACCACTGCACTCTAGCCCAGCCGACAGTGAGATTCTGACTTAAAAAGAAAGGGGAAAAAAAAAAAAGAATAATTTTCTGAACTTTTGAAATGGATTTGCGGCCTATAAAGTATGAGATTTATAGCATTGTCTGGTTTCTAGATCTTTGGTCTGGAAGTCATCCTGGGGTCGGAAGCACTATGGCCCGTGCTGTTGGGTTTTACCATCCTTCCTGCTATCCTACAAAGCGCAGCCCTTCCATTTTGCCCCGAAAGTCCTAGATTCTTGCTCATTAACAGAAATGAAGAGGAAAGTGCTAAGCAGAGTGAGTATCCTTCACGTTTCACTAAAAGAATTGTAGAGGCGTGGTTGGTTTTAAAGATGAGGGCGTTGGATACATTTTTTGTCATCGCTTTCCCCTTCACCTCAGTGAAGAGTGTTCCCATTACTGTTGAGTCAAACTCCCCGCCCCTCAAGAATGAAGGCAGGTTCAGGTCTGAATGCTCATGGGTCACCCCATCTCTGGTGGCTTCTTGCCAGCCGTCTTCCAGGAAAAGTGAAATTGGGGCAGCCCGTCATCTTGATCTCGTTGTTCTCTTCCACAGTCCTTCAGCGCTTGTGGGGCACCCAGGATGTGTCCCAGGACATCCAGGAGATGAAAGATGAGAGTGCCAGGATGGCCCAAGAGAAGAAAGTCACTGTTCTGGAGCTCTTTAGAGCACGCAGCTACCGACAGCCCATTATCATCTCCATTGTGCTCCAGCTCTCCCAGCAGCTCTCTGGAATCAATGCTGTGAGTATCTCCTTTTCGTATCTCCTTTCCCGATACGGTGGCTCACATCTGTAAGCCAAGATTAGGAGGATAGCTTGAGGCCAAGAGTTCGAGACCAGCCTGGTCAACGTAGTGAGACCTGTCTCTACAAAAAAACAATTAAACTAAATTAAAAAACAAAAATGGCCAGGCTTGGTGACTCAGCCTGTAATCCCAGCGCTTTGGGAGGCCGAGGTGAATGGATTGCCTGAGCCCGACCCGCCTGGGCGATCTTGGCGAGACCTCATCTCTATAATGAAACAAAAAAATTAAGCCGGGCTCAGTGGCTCAGCCGGTAATCCCGCGCCTTGGGAGGCTGAGGTGAGTGGATTGCCTGAGCCCACGGGTTCGAGACCCTCCTGGGCAACTTGGCAAGACCTCATCTCTATAATAAATAAAAAACTAGCCAAGCGTGGTAGCGCGCGCCTGTAGTTCCAGCTATGGAAGGCTGAAGCTATGGAAGGTGGAAGGATCGCCGGAGCCCGGCAGGTCGAGGCTGCGGTGGCCGGGAGTGGCCACTGCACTCCAGTCTGAGTGACAGAGTGAGACTCCAACTCAAAAAAAAACAAAAAAAAAAACACACTTGACCATAGGTAAGTGGCATTGGGTTTGGCCTGCCTTTTTGTTTGTTTTTTAAGAGACAGGATCTCATGGCTGCCTGCAGCCAGGAACTCCTGGGCTCAAGGGATCTCCTGCTTCAGCCTCCAGAGTAGCTGGGACTACAAGCATCCACCACTACATCCAATTAATTTTTAAATATTTTTTGAAGAAACAAAGTCTTGCTATATTGCTCAGGCTGATCTTGAACTCCTGTCCTCAAGTGATCCTCTCACTCTAGCCTCCCAAAGTGCTGGAATTACAGTTGAAAATCTGTGTAAATACTCAGGAAGACAAATAAGAACTCTATTCAAGAAGCCTAGAGGGACACTGGCCACCTCAGGCAGAGCTGGCCTTACCAGTCTGTATGTTTGTTACAACTGGAGTAGTGAGTTTGACAGTTTAATGTTGGTGGCCAAATGGAAACTAGCATTTGGCAGGTTGCCCTTGTAGTCTATGTAAATATCAACTTCTTGCTTTTGAGTATAGGTTGTGGGAAGGAGTATTCTTTTTTTTTTTTTTTGAGGTGTAGT